GGGGGGGGGGGGGCGGGCTGTCATGTGCCCGAGTCCCCTTCCTCCTATACAGGGAAGGAATAGGTTGCAGTTGCTGGACGGTTACAAAGTCGGCCCACTCTAGCAGTGTGCTGTCATGCACAAAGAGACCACCGGGGGGCGCCTTGGACTCGATTTCCGTCCTAGGCATGGTTTGGGAGTCTGAATATTTTAACATTGTGTTGCAGAATAAAACAAGCGCGCACATTTTGGGCTCCAAAGGACCCCCTTGGGGGCCTTGAATATGTTCCTGAAGCTGCTTTCACACTTGACATCACTCCAGTCGGATTTTCACCAGTATATTGAGCCCCCGATGAAGGGTCACCCCCGAAATGTCAGCTTGTCGCTGTTTTATATATACTGTAATAGAATTAAAAAATATTCAGACTTTTAATCATTGGTGTGGCGCTAAATCTGCCCTCCTCCCATGGGTCAGTGCTATTGTTGATTGGCCAATCACGCACTGGTGCAGTAGGGTGGGTGAGCACCTCAGCCCTGTGTAAGTGAAGGGGGAGATTTATTTATATCTATATTGTTTTTTTTTACCTAGACTTTAGCTTTAAATCTCTCAGCAGCAGGGGAATAAAATGGCGCCCGTGTAGCTCTATTAACACTATTAGGTTATTATTATTTTTTTAATTGTGGACGGCTGTCGCGGTGAAATAAAGCATTAACATAATCGCTTATACAGGTAATACCTCCTGCAGCCTCTGGGTGGCGCCAGATCACTGTAAAAGCTCAGCACAGCACCACCTAGAGGCTGTGATGAGGCGCTGCGCCCCCCACTTCTAATGTCTTATTTTTTTTTGCTTAAATGGTGGATATGAAGTGACTTTAAGCTATTTTGTAGCCTTGACGCAGTTTCTTCTGTACGTTGTCTTTTTGTACATTTTTTATTTTTTAACTTGCTGTCTTCTCATAACTTACCCGGATATTATTCAGAGACGCGTGCAAAATTACACTGATATATCTCTTTTTTTTTTTTATGCCGTACGCAAGCTCCGGAGCCCGGCTTTTACTTCTATGAAGGTTTTTTTTCGCTTCCCCCTTTAAGGCTGCGTTAGAGAATCCCAAAAAAAACCAAACACATTCCAGATCTCTTCTTTGGAGCTGAAAGGGTTAATGCCACAATGGTCGGCGGGCGGGCTGGTTTTCATATTTATGTATTTAAATATCTGACGTATCTGTATTTAGAGGTTTTTACTTACTGGCTGACGATAGACAAAAAAAAAATAGTTTCAGAGATTTGAGAACAAAAAAACAACAACTTTTTAACCGAAATAAAACGTTTTATTTATTCAGTGCTCTGTGGTGGTGTTCATATTGGTTACTCGGGGGAGGGGTCTACTGGTATTTTTTTGGGCTGCGTAGTCTTGGAAAATTCCTTTGTTACATTTTAATGGGTTTTTGTGTTTGCATAGACTCTAACCAGAGTTCCAAAGCGTATTTGGTGCCGGTGCTGACGCGTTCCACGTCTTCACCGTCAGCGGGGGCGGTGCTTAAAAACACCGATACGTCCACATCCTTCCGATAGAGAGAACTGCCAGAAACTTCCGTTACCCTGTACGAGGCGACAAAATAATATAGGAAGTGTCATTCCTGACCACTGCTCCGTCCCATCTCCCTCCTGACAGATACATATTGATATATTCTGCAGATTATTCCACCACTGACCCCTCTAGAGATCTGCAGAACATTGCTCCGTCCCATCTCCCTCCTGACAGATACATATTGATATATTCTGCAGATTATTCCACCACTGACCCCTCTAGAGATCTGCAGAACATTGCTCCGTCCCATCTCCCTCCTGACAGATACATATTGATATATTCTGCAGATTATTCCACCACTGACCCCTCTAGAGATCTGCAGAACATTGCTCCGTCCCATCTCCCTCCTGACAGATACATATTGATATATTCTGCAGATTATTTCATCACTGACCTCCCTAGAGATCTGCAGAACATTGCTCCGTCCCATCTCCCTCCTGACAGATACATATTGATATTTTCTGCAGATTATTCCATCACTGACCTCTCTAGAGATCTGCAGAACATTGCTCCCTCCCATCTCCCTCCTGACAGATACATATTGATATTTTCTGCAGATTATTCCATCACTGACCTCTCTAGAGATCTGCAGAACATTGCTCCCTCCCATCTCCCTCCTGACAGATACATATTGATATTTTCTGCAGATTATTCCACCACTGACCCCTCTAGAGATCTGCAGACCATCGCACCGTCCCATCTCCCTCCTGACAGATACATATTGATATATTCTGCAGATTATTCCATCACTGACCTCTCTAGATCTGCAGAACATCGCTCCGTCCCATCTCCCCCTGACAGATACATATTGATATATTCTGCAGATTATTCCATCACTGACCTCTCTAGAGATCTGCAGAACATTGCTCCGTCCCATCCCCCCCTGACAGATACATATTGATATATTCTGCAGATTATTCCACCACTGACCTCTCTAGAGATCTGCAGAACATTGCTCCGTCCCATCTCCCCCCTGACAGATACATATTGATATATTCTGCAGATTATTCCATCACTGACCCCTCTAGAGATCTGCAGAACATTGCTCCTTCCCATCTCCCCCCTGACAGATACATATTTATATATTCTGCAGATTATTCCACCACTGACCCCTCTAGAGATCTGCAGACCATCGCACCGTCCCATCTCCCTCCTGACAGATACATATTGATATATTCTGCAGATTATTCCATCACTGACCTCTCTAGATCTGCAGAACATCGCTCCGTCCCATCTCCCCCTGACAGATACATATTGATATATTCTGCAGATTATTCCATCACTGACCTCTCTAGAGATCTGCAGAACATTGCTCCGTCCCATCTCCCCCCTGACAGATACATATTGATATATTCTGCAGATTATTCCATCACTGACCTCTCTAGAGATCTGCAGAACATTGCTCCGTCCCATCTCCCCCCCAACAGATACATATTTATATATTCTGCAGATTATTCCACCACTGACCCCTCTAGAGATCTGCAGAACATCGCTCCGTCCCATCTCCCTCCTGACAGATACATATTGATATATTCTGCAGATTATTCCACCACTGACCTCCTCTAGAGATCTGCAGAGCATTGCTCCATCCCTGACACTTTACTTTAATACATTGATTCTCTTTACATATGAACATACTGAATTGAGGTTGGAATGCGGGGGAGGTTTTTCCCAGAATCCTCCTCTCCCTCTGGCACTGCCACAATCTGCTCAGCGATCTCTGGGTCCAGCCAGACACATGCGCTGACCTCCTCGTCGGCCGGCCGGAGTTTCTCCTGTTACAGGACAGAATACGGACATTACACCTCGGAGAGATCTTACGGGTCCGTATGAGAGTCATGTGTCTGCTGTCCACCTACCTGCAGCTCCTGGTGGGTCTCGTCGGATGTGACAAGGAGGTAGGTGACAATATGGTGTCTGGTGGGGAGGCCGCGATTCAGCAGCGGGGGGAAGGCGGACTGAAAAACAAGTCATTGCGCTTTATAATACATTCCACCATCACATATTTGTTCTAATAAAAGCAAATTGATAAAAATGTGAAAATAAAGAATTTTGGGGATTTCATATTTAAAGGTTTTGAAGCAAAAATGCGAAATGTTTAAATACATTTTCACGCTGCGGATGTGACCGGAACACTATGGGCAGAGGGCAGAGGGCAGGCTTGGCAACCAAGTTCGTGATCACAATTGTCTGTCGGCATCATATGATGGGGTCATGGGGTGAACAAGACGCAATGGAGTCACTGGGTGACACAGGATGCTCTGGGTGCATTGCGGTCATTGGGTGACACAGGGTGCACTGGGGTCATGGGGTACAATGGAGTCATTGGGTGACACAGGATGCTCTGGGGTGCACTGAGGTCATGGGGAGCACAGGACGCAATGGAGTCACTGGGTGACGCAGGATGGTCCGGGTGCATTGGGGTCATGGGACACACAAGACGCAATGGAGTCATGGGGTGCATAAGACACAATGGACCACAAGATGGTCAGGGGTGCACTGGGGTCATGGAGTGCACAGGATGCAGTGGAGTCTCTGGGTGACACAGGATGCTCTGGGGTGCACTGAGGTCATGGGGCGCATAAGATGCAATGGAGTCACTGGGGTCATGGGGCGCATAAGATGCAATGGAGTCACCGGGTGACACAGGATGGTCCAGGGTCATGGGACACACAGGATGCAATGGAGTCACTGGGGTCATGGGGTGCATAAGACACAATGGAGCTACTGGGTGACACAAGATGGTCGGGGTGCACTGGGGTCATGGAGCGCACAGGACGCAATGGAGTCACTGGGTGACACAGGATGCTCTGGGGTCATGGGGTGCAATGGAGTCACTGGGTGACACAAGATGCTCTGGGGTCATGGGGTGCAATGGAGTCACTGGGTGACACAGGATGCTCTGGGGTCATGGGGTGCATTGGGGTCATGGGACACATAAGACGCAATGGAGTCACTGGGTGACACAGGATGCTCTGGGGTCATGGGGTGCAATGGAGTCACTGGGTGCATTGGGGTCATGGGACACACAAGACGCAGTGGAGTCACTGGGTGACACAGGATGCTCTGAGGAAACTGGGTTAAACAGTATGCTCTGGGTGGTGCAGGATGCTTTAGGGTCACTGGGTTAAACAGTAAGCTCTGGGGTCACTGGGAGACACAGGTGAGCCTTGGGGTCACAGAGTCCTCTGAGGCTACAGAGGCATGTAGACATAGCAAGCAGAGGTCAGCAGGTGACAACTCATGATGCACAATTTACCTCCCAAAGTCCTAGGATCCTCCAGGGCGGAGTCTCGCTCCTCAGGTTCAGCCCGGTCTCCTCCTGCAGTTCTCTCAGCCCGGCATGGAGGAGCTGCCAATGTGAACGTATACAAAATGATCAGTTTTTTCCCTGTAAAGAGATCCGATGCAGATAATACTGAGAAGCCGTTCACTCACCTGCTCTCCTGGCTCCATGTGACCACCTGTAAGTATAAAAAGAAAATGGCTGACACCTCCTCATGCAGGCACATCGCCAGCCAATAAGAAATTGTGCCAACTATACCCCTCGGCCCGGCCCTGAGCCCACCCGTGGCTGGGTCCCTATAGACATCAGTACAGATGGTGATGGTGTGTGGCCCTGGGACTCCATTTGCGCTATTGGCGGACATTGCCCGAGACCTCGACGGACCCAGAACACTGACCTGGCGGGACCCAGACGTTGGGGAAGATGTTCAGGGTTTTGGATCTCCTCGTTAGCAGGACTTTATTGTTGGCGGTCTGTAGCACGATGGCGACGCCCACATCCACGCCTCGGGCCCGGATCTGCTCTGGCAGGCGGGCGGCTTGGTCTGGGCTCAGGATTTTGATGGGGCAGAAGGGCGGCCTCTGTAAGAAGAGCAAAATGAATTAACTGGGGAACGCCGTGACCATGTACACCTATGCCAGGGCCCTGTATATACCGCACCCACTACAACATCAAAAATAGCTTCCTGTATGATCTGATCCCGCCCCCCAGGAACAACCCCTAGAAAACATGAAGACAATCTTCTTTACATAGAAATATTACCTGTCACCTCTGCCATTCTTTGCGCCCTTGGAACTGCCATCAGTCTCAGACCAGTGTAAACATTGCTCTGTTTATATTCAGCCTGTCTATGTTCTGCACTGTCACTGCAGACCAGGAGTGAGAACAGAAAAGCCACCTGCTTTCACATACCTTTTTGACTCTATGTCTTCCCTGCCAGGAGCCATGAGTGAGGAATTCTGCTTTGCACTGCACTTGTGTGATTACTAGAGATCACAAACTGCTGGAAACATACAGCCCCCTGAATATGCCTGCAACGCACTGCTGTAATCACTAGAGATCACAAACTGCTGTAACCATGCAGCCCCCTGCATATGTCTGCAATGCACTGCTGTAATCACTGGAGATCACAAACTGCTGGAACCTTACAGCCCCCTGCATATGTCTGCAATGCACTGCTGTAATCACTGGAGATCACAAACTGCTGTAACCATGCAGCCCCCTGCATATGTCTGCAATGCACTGCTGTAATCACTGGAGATCACAAACTGCTGGAACCTTACAGCCCCCTGCATATGTCTGCAATGCACTGCTGTAATCACTGGAGATCACAAACTGCTGGAACCTTACAGCCCCCTGCATATGTCTGCAATGCACTGCTGTAATCACTGGAGATCACAGACTGCTGGAACCTTACAGCCCCCTGCATGTGTCTGCAATGCACTGCTCTAATCACTGGAGATCACAGACTGCTGGAACCTTGCAGCCCCCTGCATATGTCTGCAATGCACTGCTGTAATCACTGGAGATCACAAACTGCTGGAACCTTACAGCCCCCTGCATGTGTCTGCAATGCACTGCTCTAATCACTGGAGATCACAGACTGCTGGAACCTTGCAGCCCCCTGCATATGTCTGCACTGCACTGCTCTAATCACTGGAGATCACAGACTGCTGGAACCTTGCAGCCCCCTGCATATGTCTGCACTGCTATAATCACTGGAGATCACAGACTGCTGGAACCTTGCAGCCCCCTGCATATGTCTGCACTGCACTGCTGTAATCACTGGAGATCACAAACTGCTGGAACCTTGCAGCCCCCTGCATATGTCTGCACTGCACTGCTGTAATCACTGGAGATCACAAACTGCTGGAACCTTGCAGCCCCCCTGCATGTGTCCAGCTGTCATTTTCAGTTCCCTCTACTGACCTGTAGCCGGACGCTACTGGAACCACTGAACGGCCGATCCGAGATGACAAACCGGTTCTGGTCCAGTCCGCAGTTCACAACAGCCTTGTCCTCATGACCGGAGCAAAACTGCCCGGTGATACCCTAAAACATTTACAAAGAGA